ATATATATATATTATAATAAAAATATATATAATATATGTAATACATTATAATAAAATATATTACATATTTTATTTTAATATTATATATTAATTTATTTACTATATATGTTAAAATATATATTAAAATATATAAATATTATATATTAGTATATAATATTAAAATAAAATATATAATATATTTTATTATAATATATTATATATAATATATAAATATTATTTTTTATTATATATATATACATATATAATAATAATATCTATTATATATTTTATATATTATTATATAATATTATATATATTATATTATATTATATATAAATTTTTTTTTTAATTATTCTTTTATTTTCGGAGTTTATTATTTTTAACCAAAGAATTTGAAAAGAAGAAAAAAAAAAGAAATCATATTTAAAAAAAAGATAGAGAGAAAAGTAAGAAAAGACGGAGAGAGAAAGAGAAAGAATTGTTATTTGTTGTTATTGTTATTGTTGTTAAAAAAAAAAAATGGAAAAAAATTGCGATAGTTATTTACGCACGTCGATGCTCAAAAGATATTAGATTTTATTGTTATGAGGGGAGAAAAAAAAAGGAAAAATTAAAATTTCGAGAATGATATTTAAAAGATCATAAAATAAGTTCAAAAATAAAAATAAAAATAGAAAGAAAGGGAGAGAGAGAGAGAGAGAAAATTCTTCGTCGTGGCGATGCGAGTACTTAGGAAAAATATTATGAAACGCGCTTATTGCGAAGCTTTTTTTCAACACATCCATACCATATAAAATAATATTTAACTCGAATCGAATGAGAATGAGATGATTTTTTCAAGCTTTTACGAAGAGTTTTTTAGGCTGACTGTTGAAATATGAAAGTAATATGCATAATTGATAAGAAATCACATTTTAGAATTCAGGTCTTCTCAAAAACAACATTTTTTTTCTCTAATTTTTGATTAAATTTTATTATAAAAAATATTTTATTGTTTTTATATATATATATATTCTCATTCATTATCATAAATTTCATAGTTACGTTACTAAAATCGTTTATTTAATATTAATTAATATTAAAGATACTCATATAATATTCAAATAAAATTATTAATATTAATATTAAAAAATTATATTATTATATAATATAATATTTAATATTATTATATTACATAATTTTTATTTTTAATAAATCATTATTCAATTATTTAATAAATTTTGTTTCAAATTTGTACGACCCCCATAATTTGGATGGGGAGTCACAATAAATCCATCCTTTTGAGAAGTCCTGTTTTATACAATATACGCATAAACACATACATACGTACATAGATATACGACTAAATATATATATATATACATACATATACATACATATATATATATGTAGATTGTATTTTTAATAAACAAGTTTATAGTAATCGCTGACACACACAGCCGCACCGTGCAGGGTAAAGTAAAGTAAAGTAAAGTAAAGTAAACTAAAGTATTAAAATAACAAAATAGAAAGAAAGAAAGAAAAAAAAAAAAAATTCAGAAAATGAGAGAAAAATAAATGGAGGATAAAAAAAAAAATTTTGAAGAGAAGACCTGGCAGTTGTATTATTCGAAAAATAATATTACAATAATATAAATTTGTCTTCTTCTTTCTTTTTCTTTTTCTTCTTTCTTTTCGTCGCGAATCGTTGTGCCATTTTTCATAGCTTTTATTTAAATATCCCACCTTATTATTAATTTGTAAAATAAAAAAAAGAAATTATCGTGCGATAATTAATGTTAATTTCTTTTTTTTTCTTTTTTTATTATGCTTTTTTATCTATTTTTATTTTTCATTTTTCATCGTAGTAATATGTAAGAACTGGCGTTGATTTAAATAAGCTGGTACTTACGCGAATAAATAAATAAATATATATATATAATATAGAATTAAAAAAATATATATATATAATAATAATAATAAAATATATAATATTATTAAATATTATTACGCGAAAATCGCCGGGACTTTACGTCTTAAATGAAGATTTAATGCTTAAATACAAAAGCAAATCTTTTGATCATTATAACATCGTCATTATTAACATATATCAGCCTGCAGTAAACATACATATCTGTAAAAAAAGAAAACAAAATGTTTTATTTTAACGATTGCGACAATTTCGAATTGAATAAACGATCTATTCTTACCTGTTCTCTCTATTTCATTCGTTTCATTGTATTCTATCCTTGTTTTCAAGACTTTCTTCAAATTTTTCTTCTTGAAAACACATATATGTGTTTGTTAACCCTTTGACATACAAATAAAATGCGTAATGTTTTATTTTGAAACTTACATTGCTTTATAAAATTCAATAAGATTGATAATTAATTAATTAAATTAATTCTGTCCATTTTTAAAATAAAATAAAATAAAAAAATTATTCCTAATTTGAACAATTAATTCATTGAATTACTTTTGAACTCTTACCAACATGGTGACAATTTGTATATTTCATTTTAAGAAATGGGGCCTTACCCCTGGTGACGAAAAATTGAACTAATGTTTGTTTGAACCGACAGAATAAATATAATATAAAATAATTAATATAATAAATTAATATAAAATAATAAATTATTCCTAATTTGAACAATTAATTAATTGAATTACTTTTGAACTCTTACCAACATGGTGACAATTTGTATATTTCATTTTAAGAAATGGGGCCTTACCCCTGGTGACGAAAAATTGAACTAATGTTTGTTTGAATCGACAGAATAAATATAATATAAAATAATTAATATAATTAATTAATATAAAATAATAATTTAATAATTTTGTAACGCGTGTGATACTTCATAAAGCAGAAACAACCAAAAACAGTTGTTGACATTTTAGATATGTCCAAATCTACAATGACAAATAAAATAAATTACGTTTTCCCGAGACTTCATTGTATGTTAAGGGGTTAACAAAAATGAATGATAGGATGTTGAAAGGTTTTAAGAGGGTTTGGGATTAATTTTGCAATAAGTTTTGCATTTAGGGTGTTTGAATGTTTAAATATACGCCTTTTTATACATGGGAAAATCGAAGGATACATCGTACAATAATAAATGCTTGCACTTTTGCATTAGCACAGCAGAATTCTTCATTATCTCTTCTTTTGTTTTGTCTTCTTCTTCTTCTTTTTTTTTTTGTTTCATTTTGTTTCTTCTTTTGATAATTCTCTTCATACACGTCACAACGTTATTACACGCTCTCTCCATACTCTTCTTTATTTATTTACTTATTTATTTATTTATTTATATACCCTTTCACCCAATTATAACGCACACCAATTGAAACGAATCTCTCTGTATATGCAGAATGTATCAAAATATTTGAAAATAATTTCAAAAATTGAGTTTCGATACGTTTAAATAAATAAATACAAAAAAAATATAACAAATTTTACGATATTATCTTGTTTCCAAATTATTTACTGTTTATGTTTTTTTTTTTTTTTCAATAATTTTATAAAATATAATTATTCATGATTGCACATTACTGATTGAATTATTTACAATTATTTTAATGTTATCTCATGTGCCACTTTTTTCTTCTGTCTGTTCTGTAAATATGAAATATTTTTAATCAGTTCAGTACAATCTGTCATGATGATAACAGTGTGGTCATTTGTTAATATATTTTTGCGATAATTTACATTGATAATGTATAATACACAACACAACGATTATAATTTAGAAACACGTTTTGTATTGAAGCATAGGATTGTAAAAACGATTTTTCTTTTTTTTTTTAGCATAATGAAACCATCTTTCAAATTATGATCTCCTATTTTGAAACATCTTGCATATATCTATATATATATTTATATATATATACAGGGTGTCGTGTAATTGATGGTACAAACAAAACAGAGAATGATTGAAGAAAATGAAACTGAAAAATGTTGAATTAAAATTTATCAAATACGTGTGTTTAAATTTACAATTCTGTAAATTAAAAATTAAAATTAATATAATATATATCATCATAATTGATAATGTCAGTTAAAAAAGCACAAAAAATGAATCAAATGAACGCTTGTTAAATTTTCAAATTTAATTATCACAAAAACAAAGTAACATTGTATGAACGAGTAATGTTTTTTTGCATGTTTGATTTTTCGTTAGAATTAAATTGTCTTGTAAAATCATTCATTTTGTTAATTTGTACAGTCAGTTACAAGGATACGCTGTATATAATACGAGCATCGATGATAAAACTTTGTAGCCTCCTTTTTTTATTAATATTATTTTGTTAATGTCATTTTTCGTTTCTTTCGTTAGAACAAGCCAACAACATATTTTTGCTTCTTTTCGTTAGACGAGGAAAAAATGTGACAGTGACAGAGAGAGAGAGAGTTAGAAAGAGAGAAAGAGAGAGAGATAGAAATAGGAAAGAAATAATATACAACACGGAAATAAAACTTATGATTACGCGTGATCACCACTGAAATAACTACTCTGCATCATAAACAGTTTATCGATAGGATTGTGAATAGCCGCATGTAAACCCTGAGATAACGAGGGTGCTTCGTGTGAGGAAGAACCATGATGGGAATGAGAACCACCCTGATGACTTCCATCAGCACCGCCACTTTCATTTTCGCCAATTTCAAAACCAACGACACCGTCAAGCGATTCATCCGTACTGCAGAAACTGTCACCAGAATTGGCTGGATAATTATCTGCAATATATTGTCTTGTTAATCATTTGTATTAATTAATTAAAAAAAAAAAAGGTGAAATCATTTAATACTAACCGTCTGGTGAGAAGGGATGATTAGGGTTAAGCGGTTGTGTTGCCGAAGGAAAATTCGATGATTCACCGTCACGCATATTTATGGCGTTCAAGTAATGACCTATAACGTGATTATAAAATAAAATTGATTATTATTCGATATTTTATAATTTTATCTAATAAAATATTAATTTTAATAAAATTAACCCCTTAAGGAACAATTTTGGCTCAACGTAATGCAACGCCGCTCGAGTTAACTCGAGCGTGCAACTTAAGGGATTAAATGATCACTGTAACTAAATTATTTCAATTTTATTTGTAATAATAACAATAAGATAAGATATGCTATTTTTAATTAAAAAAAATTAATTAAATTTTAAAAATATTTTTGTATATCAAGTGTAATTCATGTTAATTCTTATCGGTATTTAGGTTTTTATATTGATGATTCTAGCTAATTGTAAGTTATAAGAGGTTTCAGTAAATATGCAACAAAATTGTTTAGTATTATATAAAAATAATTTATTATTAATAAGAAATTATTTATTATTTTAAAGGAGTACTAAAAATATATAAAATTATTAATTATTTAATTATTAGTAACATATCTTAATAAGTCACTTTCCATGTGACTTACGACCGATAAGGGTTAATGTTTCCGTTTGTTTACGATAAAACATCATAAAATATTATTTATTTATAAGAATTATGTTATAACTATAATTTAGAATTATAAAATGAATGTAATGTGTGAACTTACTGTGATCGCTATGAGGACTTTCCGTCCTTCGTTCTTCCTTAGGCTCTTTGTCAGATCCAGGTTCTGTTTTCGCTTTCCTCTGTAGCTTCTTCATTTTCGCCCTTTGATTTTGAAACCAGACCTGTACGACGCGAACGCTGAGACCCGTGTCCTTTGCCAGAGCCTCTCGTACCTTCCTGCAAGGCTTTGGCGAGACTTCAAAGGACGCTTTGAACTGTCGCCTTTGAGCCGATGTGAGGATGGTTCGTGGCCGTTTAGGTCCCCTTCTACCATCTCGTGGTCGATTTTCGTCCAATAAATCGTCATCTCAACAAATACAATTTTTTTCATTGATTCTACTATTTTACTCATTATATTATTACATATTTAAATTATTGTATATTATTTTACATTAAAGTTATTCTAATTGTAAGAAGATGCAACTTTCTTGTTTGAAAATGAAAAACAATTATAGGTTAACTCTCCTATAACACGGTTTTGTTTTATCACGATAAGAAAATTGCGACAAATTTTTGTACAACATTGTACTTCTACCATCTTTTGGTCAATTTTCGTCCAATAAATCGTCATATTAATAATTAAAATATAATCATTCATCCAATAATTAAATTCATTACATTAAAACACATTTAAATAACCGCATATTATTATTTCTTATTAAAATTATTGTAATTGTAAAACGATGCAATTTTCTTTTTTGAAAATGAAATACAATCATAGGTTAACTCTCCTACAAAATGGTTTCTTTATAACACGATAAGAAAATTGCAATAAATTTTTATACAACACTTCCCCTTCTATCATCCTTTGCTCAATTTACATCTAATAATAAGTTAACCCTTTTGCAACACGGTTTTGTTTTATCACGATAGGAAAATTGCAACAAATCTTTGTACAACACTTGCCCTTCTACCATCTTGTGGTCAATTTTTCTTCAATAAATTGTCATCTCAATAAATAAAATATTATCATCCATCCAATCATTAAATTCATTATATTAAAACACATTTAAATAACCGCATATTATTATTTCGAATTAAAATTATTCTAATTGTAAAATGATACAATTTTCTTTTTTGAAAATGAAATACAAATATAGGTTAACTCTCCTACAAAATGGTTTCTTTTTAACAGGATAAGAAAATTGCAAGAAACTTTTGTACAACATTGTACTTCTATAGCATTGGATAACATGCGGTCGTTTAAATGTTAATTATAATTTTTTTATTTAATTATTTCTATTAATTTCTTAAATGATGTTCATCAAGGATCAATTTTATCCCATATACTTTTTCATTTTTAAATAATAATTTAACAATTAAATAAAATCCTAATTTAGTCAACTTAGAACACGTATTTTTATGGTTACATTTTTGGTTTTCTTTTTGCAAATAATAAAATATAATAATAAATAATAATAAAATATACAGTTTGATTAAAAAAAAAAAAAACCACCAAGAAAAAAATATAAACTCTACGAATGTTATTATAAATAAATATATTATAAATAAATATAAATTATATAATAAAATTAATTTCAAAAAGAATTACATAACCCAAAACCATTATGATTAATTTCAACAATAATAATAATAATAACAATAATAATACGATAAAATATGCAATTTTGTGTGTGCAAATAAAAAAAAAACATTTTCATACAAATTTAAAAAAAAATTCATAAATAAAATAAAACCCCCCCAAAAATATGATAAAAATATATTTCAAAATATCAATAATTCTTTTTGAAATACTACATGATCTAACTACTATAATCAATACACGAACTCAAACAACGATCTTGTAATTAAATTTACAAATTTTCTAATATACGTAATATTCATTTATCAAAATACATACTCTCACACACGCAACAAAAACCCCCCCAAAAAATCAGTAGAAAAATAAGAATAAGTAGAAGAAGACGACAAAAAACAAAAAAAAAGGAAGAAAAGACCAAAAAAAAAGTTATTCGTTCGTCGGGCGAGTATTGATCTGTGAGTTCAAAGGCGCCACCTCTCGATGAGGGAATAAACGTTGATACCGTTTCTAGCTGAGAGAGAGAGAGAGAGAGAGAGAGAGAGAGAGAGAGAGAGAGAGAGAAATAGAGAAAAAGGTGAAAAAAAGAAAGATAGCAAAAGAGGAATGAGGGGGTGGTAGGAGGAAGGACACACTTATTGGGAAGGAAAAGTCTTCGGAAACTTGGACAAAAGTGGGGGGGATTAAACTTGAAGGAAGTCTCAGAACTGTTGTTCTTAGCTTTAGAAATTTTACACTACTAACAATTGTTGTGTACTTTAAAATAAGGATAAGGTGGACAACGGGACCGAGAAAAGGGGGATTTAGGGGGAGAGAAAGGTAATAAGAGGGGGTGGGAGGTTGGTCGTTACATTTGAGTACTACCATTACCGCAATCTTACGAAATGTTTCTACTTATACGATGTTGGGTTTGCTTTCACGTGAGAATACGTTTGAAATAAGTATGTGTACGTGATTATGAGTTCTTAAGATATCCACATATGTTTTTTGTTGTTGCGTTATTCTATCGTCTGACATAACATCGACCCTAACTACTTGTAATTTTTTATTTCTCTTTCTTACGCAATTAAATTCAATAGAAGAAATGGTACTATTGTTTTTGTGGTCAAGACAATCATCAATCGAGTATAATTTTTTTGATTATGTATTTTATTTAAGAAAAAGATAAACAAATAATTAATACAAAATATATAAATTATGATTGTGATGTTTGAAAAGGAATTTTAACGTCTACATTTTAATATTGTACGTGTAATTTTGTTCTTAAAAATAAATCTTGTATACCTGTATCCGTTGTTATGTACTATTATTATTATTATTATTATTATTATTATATTTTATTTTATTTTTTGTGTTATATTTGAAAAGTCGTGAATCGAATTTTGATTTAGACAATCGTCTTCTAATAACGCTTGTTTAATTTGTAATTACCTTGGGAAAGAGACAGCCTTGTTTCTTTGAAATTCTTGAAGGTTTTTACTTTGGATGTCTTTAGATTGTAGTACAACAACCTGCGAACAATGCAACAAGGTATGTACTATACAATACGTTTGCATATGGCGCTGGTTAATAGAACGTAATTGATTCAAATTTTTTTTTTTTTTTTTTATTTCATTCATTTTCTTTTCTTTTTTCTTCTTCCAATTTATATAATGACTTTAATTGTATATTAATGAAAACAATCAAGAAACAAAAAGATTTGATATTAAGCGCCTTTAGCAAGAAAAAGAAAGAAAAAAAAAAGGAAAAAGAAAAGAAAAATCATCATTTTTTTCATATGATCGTATTAAAGATCATTGATTCATTTGAAAGGATTAATTAAAAAATCATGTATGTGTATGTGATTATTAAACAAAATAATGTTTCATTTAAAACGAATAGATCTTTCGTTATATCCAAGGTAATTACAACTTTATACTACGTTCACATTGTATTTCTTTTTTTTTTATCGAGATTGAATGATCTACCTCGATTACATAATTGTCATGAACCGTGAAGTAATAATACCTACCTTATTTATATAAGATTTGATCAACTTCACCCGTGTGCATCGTGTAACAAAATTTAACCGTTCACGATTGAGAAATATATATATATATATATCATTTGTATTAATCCCTGTATCATCGAAAACGAATAATCTTAAATTCTGATATTCTATATAGGATAATTAAAAATATGTGATTGTGACTAATTTTCGAATTTTAAGAAGGAAACAATTTAAAAAGGGTTTTTGGTAAATTCTACGACGGGAGTTTTTTTTTTGGGAAAGGAACAAAATTTGGATACAGGAAATTAAATATAAGAATATATATATATATAAAATTGGATATAGGAAAATTTGGATAATAGAAATATAATAATGAGATCAAGTGGGGTGAGAGAGAGAGGTGTGAGAGAAGTGAAACGAAGATTACTTTAATTGTTCATAGTTTCAGACGATAGTATCATTTTAATCAACCATTTGTATCATCGAAAACGAGTACTTTTAAATTTTGATCTTCTATATTTAATTAAAAACATTTATCGTGAAGAATTTTTGAATTATAATAATGACATAATCAAAAAAAGGGTCTTAGGTAAGTTCTTCAATGAAGATTTTTTTTTTGAAAGGAAGAAAATTTGGATACAGAAAATTAAATATAAGAATATATATATATATATATATATACAGGGGGTGAGATGCTTCAAAATAATTCATAAAACATAGATTGTATAAAAAACAATGTATCCTATATAATTAAACTAAATTAGGGGAACAAATGGTAAACAAAATTTTATTTAACAAGATCATTGTTATTATTTGAACTCATTACCTACCACAATACGAAAATGCAAAAAATAATTAAATTAACTGTATAATAATATTCATACTAATCAAATAGAACTATTTGTAATAGTATACAATTCTATTTATTCTAGTATTCTATACAATTCTAGTACTCTATATAATATAAACTATCCTATCTTTCAAGTTGGATGAAACTGCATACAGTGTGTAAAATTTTATTAAAATCGGTTCAGTAGTTTAGGAGTCCATTACGGACAAACAACGTGACACGTAATTTATATATATTAAGATATAGAATAAATTTGTAATATTTTCATGAAGCACGAGGTAAGATCTTATGATTTTAACCGAATATAATTTATTCTGAAGTTGCAGTTATTAAAAAAAAAAAAAAACAATTTCAAAATGAATCCCAAAACAAAGCCATTATTTGGTAATGGATTAAATAGAATACCTAATTTTTGTTTTCTAAATTCTAACAAAACATCACCTAATGAATTGGATATAAGGAAAATTTTAGGAAAATAATATAGGAATATAAAAAAATGATCGAATTGAGGTAAAAACGAAGATTAATTATGTAATTGGTGATAGTATAAAGACTAACCTTGAGGACTTTTCATGTAAAGCTCGTGTTCCAAGTCCTGAAGGCAGATAGGTTGTCCCTGACGCAAAATATAATGAGCGCCCCTTTGCAATGGTTGGCCGCACATGCAGCAGGCAAAACATTCCATGTGGAAGATCAAACCAGCAACTCTCATGACCATCTCGCTGCAGCTGATCTTCTCCATACATCGGGCACACTTAACGCTAAAGATCCTCTCGTAATCGGATCGACAATAAAACTTGAGGTCACGTATGAAACAGGATTGCGACAACGGTGCGGCACATGCCGCACACGAGAGGCACTCCTCGTGATAGTTTCTTTCCATTACTCTCATCACGTACTTATCCGTGATCGTACGCCCGCATCCGGCACAGATCGTTTCCAGTAGTCCGGATTCCGTCTTCACGGAAACCGACGATTCTGTAAAATCGTTAGATTTACGGTCTTTTTTTGTTTTACTCATATTCATTCTTTTTTTTTTTTATTATAATTATACTATTATTATTATTATTTAATCAGCATTGACAACTTTGTTTTTTTAATCTAGTATTTTGTTTCGATGTAATAAACGATTGATTTTCAATTTTTGTACAATACTTTTATTTATAGATATATTAATTATTTCACTTGATTTTTTTTTGGTTTATTATTATTATTATTTATTGTATAAATTATCAAAGTTAAGTTTAACTGATATGATTTATAAGTAAGAGATAATTAAAATTAATTTTATTTAGTGATCAGTGTTTTAAATCTTTTGATTTATTTTTTTTTTTTTTAGAGAGTTCAATAAAACATAAATTAATTAATTTTTTATTTTTGTACTGTAATTTATTATTATATTATTAATTGGCATTAGGAACACAAAAGTTACACACATTAATTATTTTACTTAATTTTCTTCTTTTTTTTATTATTATTTTATAAACTATTAGGATCAAGTTTAATTGATACGATTTATAAGTAAGACAATTGAAATTAATTTTTTTTTTTAAACAAATTTGTAATTGTGATCGATGTTTTAATTCTTTTGATTTATTTTCTTTTTTAGACAACGAAAACAATATTGATTCATTTTTCTCTTATTATCTATCGTACAAGTAATAAACAAATTTATGAATATATAGAAAGATAGATAGACTGAAACACGAAAGAGAAAGAGAGAGAGAAATAGATTTATTCAAACCCTTATCGACGGCTAACGCTGATAAAACGATAACGTGATCGATTGTGGGATTAGAATTTAACAGGAAAAAGATTAGATTCCTTTGAGTTAGACATTAAAATAACTATGTATAACAACACGTCAAGAACATTACAATTTGGTTAGATAATAATCATATAATACGATAATATTATATTCACGATGTTTCAAGATCCCCTTTTCATTTTATTTTATCATTCTTATGCAAAAAAAGTCACACATTTTATTTTTTAAAACTTAATAAATTCGAATGTGAAAAATCAAAACAAAAAACAAATAATACTTTGTATCAATTAAGTAACATATGAGATGATCTTTCACTCAAACGTTAATTTAAAAATTCATCAAAAATTATCATAACATACAAGAAAAAAGAAATAATATATTATTTCGATTTGATTAATATTTAAATAAATAAATATTGAAAAATCTAAAAATTAATCAAAAATTATCATAAAATGAAATAAAGAAAAAAGAAAATGAAACTAAAGCAATAATATATTATTTCAATTTGTATAATATTAAATAAAGAATAAATATTATTAAAAAATTTAAAAATTAATCATAAAATGAAATAAACAAATATCATTTCGATTCGATATTGATATTTAAATAAAGAATATACACATATAAATCATTGAAAAATGTAAAACCCATTCATCTTAAATCCGTCGCCATTTTCTAACCAATAGAAATCTTCTTTTCGAGTTCAATGAAATATAATATAAAATAAATGAAAAAGAAACCTGCGTTATTGTTGTCTCCGGTCGAACGAAATGGTAGAGATGGTCCAGCAGGTACGGGTTGTCCCGGTTCCGGCTGACGATTCAAAGAACCTTGGACAGGTGTAAAGAATTCCAACATTGTGTCACGAATAGACTTCACCAATCGTCGCACGATCCCAATAAGAGAACACGCGATCTGACAACACTTTATCGGTCCAACGATAATACGTACGTTGTCGTCGTACATCGCGCGGGAAATCTCAAGAGAGGACACTTAGGACCTCGTAAATGTAAATCGTATATCTTCGTGAACGTAAAATCTCGAATAGTATTAACGATTTATCGTAAGAACACATGTTACCTTCTACGATGATCACAAAACTAAATGAACGATGACAATTTGAAAATTCAAAATCAAATTTACTGTAAAAACAGCGAAAAAGTGAAAAAGATAGAAAATAAACAAATCAAATGAAAGATGAAAGAAGAACAATTATTTAATTTCTTCTACTTCTTCCCTTATTTCTCTTCCACCTATTATAATATATTTATAAAATTGATAATTATTATTATATAATAAAAATATATCTAAATAAATTGAAACAAAAATGATTTAGGAATCAAAGTAAAGGAAATCAAATTCACTGGGTGTAACACACGCGTCCGTCCAGTCGTCGTGTAATACCCGCTTTTCACTCGTGTGTGTCACCAGGCCAACTTCCAAAGCTTTTTTGACGTGAACCCATAGGCACCAAGGATGAAAATTGTCCCTTTACTCCCACCCAATTACACTTCCCCTTCTCCCACTTTCTTACTCTCACTCTCTCTCACTCTGTTTCCCTTACTCTGTCTATATATAAGCAATGTTCTCTCCCTTCCAGGACCGGTATCAACCACCTATTCAACACCCCACCCTTAACGATGAACCCTCAAGCTGTTACCCCCACCCCTTCCATATCATACGTTTCTCTTCGTCAACTGTTAAGGGGGAACGAGAGAGGGTAGATAGAAAGAGGGGCGTACTTTAACTGCCCCTAGTTGTTCCACTACCTTCTTCCTGATTGGTTCATCCCGGATACGCCCTTATCGTTGTTGAATACCGGGGACGTACCTGGAGGATGCGGTGCTCAACCCCAAACGACACACATCTACTATTACCTTCCTTCCTTCCTTCCTCTCCTTCTCGACGAGACGGAGATCAATATCTCTAGCGACCAACGCACCGGACCGACACCAATGTACATATATACATACATACATACATACATATATATATATATATATATATATATATATATATGCTTATATATCTATTTATGTGCGTGTATATATGTTATATATATTATATATCTGTATATGTGTGTTTGTGTGTACATATATGTATATATATAATATATATATGTACATTCATACATACGGCGAGGTATGCTGGTGAACCTAAACGAATGGACCACTGTTTTCTCCTTTTTCTTCCTTCCTCCTTTTTTTATTTTGTTCTCTCTCTCTCTCTCTCTCTTTCGGTGTCTTTTGAATCCTTCGGAATTGTCCCATCGAAAAAAATGTGCAAATATCGTTGGAAAATTTGGATCAATATCCTAGACGATATATTTCTATTTCTAGTTCTAGTTCTATTTTATTTTATTGTTGTTTTTCTTTTTGTTCTTTCAAGAGAATAGTTCATAAACATGAACGAGAAATATCGTAAAACGCTGATTAACACATTGTAATTTAATATCTGTACACGTTAAATTTTAAAATCGACAAATTCATTTATAATACAAATTGGAATGACGAATATAAGGGGGACAGAATGTCAAAAAAAAAAAAACCAAATGAAGAAGGGGGTGAAAAAACACGAACGATCACAGCTAGGTGTGGTTTTTTGGAGGGGGTGGAAGTGGTACGAAACAAAAGTAATTCTACGAGTACTGGATGATATCCGTTGATACGAATACCCCGGGATCGAAAGTGCTATGCGAATTTTCATGAAAGTCCTACGTGTACCAAGAGAGAGAAAGAGAGAGAGAGAGAGAGAGAGAGAGAGAGAGAGAGAGAGAGAGTGTA